TGTCAAATTTGCCACAAGTATAATTATTTTTATATCATTAGTTTTCTAAAATTCATTTTATTCAACGATTTAATTTACGAAAATTAGCTATCCTTGTGACGTTGCTCACGAGCCGCGTTTGGCGAATCATCAAACAAAACAAAACAAACATACCCAATTAAAGCAATAATCAACGAGAAATCAAAAAATCTTATAATTAATTAACATCAATTGTTGGACTACTTGGAGAGTCACTATTAGATTTACCTCCAAAAAGTTTCATCATTATCGGGTTGGCAGTTTCTTCAAGTGATTTCTGTTTATGATCATATTCTTCATTTTCAGCTTCTTGATTGCTTTCGAACCATGTAATTGCTTCTTGAATAGCATCTTCAAGTTTCTTCTTATCACCTGCAACCATTTTACCTATAACCTTTTCGTCCTAAATGTGAATATAGATTATTTAGTTTATGATAATTCTAATTATGTTTACACTTGAAAAAATATATTGAATCCATAATCATACCTGAAGTGTATTTCGCAAGTTATATGCATAACTCTCCAAGCCATTACGTGCTTGAATTCTATGAGCAACCTTTTCATCATCTGCACGATATTTCTCAGCATCTGTAACTGCCCAAGCCAAAATGATAATTAGAATTTATAAATTTACGGGAATATAAAACTTCCTCTTAAAGCTTACCCATGCGTTCGATTTCTTCTTTAGACAATCGCCCTTTGTCATTTGTAATGTTAACCCTGTTAGATCGTCCAGTTGTCTTATCGACAGCAGAGACCTATAAAGCAAATAACTATATGATAGTAAGAAATTAAAAAGGTTATAGTCAAAAATAAATAAATAAATAAAAACATACATTAAGAATACCATGCATGTCAATATCAAAAGTAACTTCGATTTGAAGTACACCTCGAGGTGCAGGTGGAATGCCGGTCAATTCGAATTTACCAAGCAAGTTATTATCCTTTGTACGAGCACGTTCACCTTCATATACTTGGATAAGTACACCTGGTTGGTTATCCGAGTATGTGGAGAATATCTCGGATTTCTTGGTGGGAACTGTGGTGTTTCGTTTAATAAGTGGTGTCATAACACCTCCTGCAGTTTCAATACCGAGAGAAAGTGGTGC